GGACAGGAGGGGAGAGCAGAGGAAGGGAGAGCAGAGGAGTGGGGAGAAAAAGGGCTGGAGACAGCACTTCTTTCCTTCCCGTGGAAAACTTTCACTCATCACCAGCCCCCTTGCTGCCCCAGGGAAGCCCAGCAAGACTGCTTCCGGACAGGTTCCCCTTGCTTTCGGCTCTTGCCTGTGGGGCGTGGGGCCACAGGCAGAGCCTTAGGCTTGGCTACAGGGAGGGAGTCCAGCTCATGAATCTCAGTCTGGCCCCAGAGTTGGCAGGTTCAGTCCCTGCAACCTGTGTAGATCGCCTGCTACGCCATTCTGTGAGGACCCGTGGGCTACTGGCCTCATCTTTGTAATCCCGGGGGCCTGTACACGGAGCATGGCTCTTGAGAGAAGAGGAAGGGGGAGGAGGGGAGGGATGTGCAGATAGAGGAGGGGGCGTCCAGCTCCTCCAGCCCGCCGCTCGGCAGCCCCAGGGTCTGCTTGCAAACAGCAGACTGTACTGCTTCTCCCCAAGGGACTACATTGGCATTTTCGCGCCTTCTGTGCAGACTTAAAGTCTGTGACAGTCACCAACCTCCCCTCCCCACCGCTCCTAAGCTACGCTTTCTCAGTGTCTGCTTGCTGAAAAGAAAGCTCCAGCCTCCTGAATTTACAAACGCTTTATTGAGATCAGAGCAAGGCAACAGAAAGCTTCTTGGCTTGTAGGTCCCGTGAGACAGGAAAGTCCCCTCCCGTCCCTGAAGTGTCCCTGCAGGGGGCTCTTGAAGAGGGCCCGGGGCCAGTGGAGCCTGGTCGCCAGCTTGGAGATCCTCTAGCTGGCTGGGGCAAGGGCTCTGGGCTGCAGCTGTTGGAGGAATGGCTGGAAGGGGCTCTGACCAGGCCCTGTCAGCACAGTGCTTTTCTGCTTACAAAAACCCGAGTTCCCTTCAGAGACAGGTGGGACATCTCTGTTTATGGGCTAAGAAACAGGGCTCCCAGAGGGAAGTGACTGGCCCAGGGCCCAGGAGCCTTGGTGGGCATGAAATGGAGATAGGATTAGAGAGCAGGTGCCCCCCAAGCGAAGGCAGTGCCCTTTCAGCATAAGCCTGTGACATTTGGACAGACTCCCTTGGGCGAGAATACCCTCCTCTGGCCTCCCTCCCTTTCCTAAACTGGGGAGGGCTGCGGTGGAGCGGGGGTGGGTCCGGGGAAGAATCTGGTTGGGGAAGGGAGGAGTCTAGGTGTGCTTGGGGGTGGGGAAACTCGAAGTCCACTGGGGCCCTCTAAGTGCTCCATGCAGTCCAGAGATTCTCCTCTCTGCGGGACTCTGGCAGGAGCCTGGGAGGCCGTCGCCCCTGGGTTACCCAGCCCTGAGATCCTCCACCCCTCCTTGGCTTCTAGCAGAGAACTTAGCTCTTCCAGGTCTGCCTGCTGTTGGGATGATTTCGGAGGCTGAAGTCAGGGGCCTTGGAGGGAGGGAAGAGAGGAGCCCTGGTCAGGAAGACCTTGGCAATCACCATGCAGTGGACATTGGCACTTCCAGGGTTGAGTCTGTCAGCCAGTCTCGTTCTAAGCCAAGGGCCTTGGGCAAAGGACCTTCCGTCACTGGAGTTGGTTTCTTGACTTGAGGAAAGAGTCCACGGAAGAGAGCAGGGTCACAGGAATGCAAGGGCATGTGGCAGGCACACAGTGGGCACCCCAGCTGCTCCCTCCAGCCTGTCCCCGAAGCCATTCCCAGCAGCCCCTACCCATCTGGGCGTTCTGCAGATAACATCAGGGAAGGGACACCACTCACCAGGGTCTGGGAATTTCCCTCCAGCCTCCTCGGAGCCAGCCCAGAGCAGCTCTGGTCTCTGTCCATCCCTGTGCCCATCCTGAGTGCCTTACTGGAGCAACTGACTTAGGGCTGGTGGGCCTGGGGACGCCCATGGGCCTGCCTTCCCACATCTATGGCTAGGATGGGAAACGTGTTCTCAGACCTGCCAGGGCTGGGCTAGAGGGCCAGGAGGCCAAAACATCCAGCTTCCAGGTTCAAAGTGGCAAGATCACACCCCACTGCAGCACTGCGAGGAAGGGGAGGCCGGGAGCTGGGTGGGCACCCACTCCCTGCATCTAGGATATGTATTAATTAATTATGTAAATTAAGTATTGTAAACCACCCACCCAAAGATCAGGATGCCTGGGACCCTTCCGCCAGGAGGTTAAACATCTTTAATCCCTTCCTACCCCTCTCCTTCCCTATCTTTCTGAGCCTCCCCCATACAGACTGGGTCAGGGGGTGCAGAGCTTTCCTCTACACCAGGGCTCTAAGCCTAGGCTGGGGGTAATGGTGAGGAGGGGTGCCTGAGGAGCACCCTCTCTCCCTGGGAGCTCTGCAGAGGAAGAGGGTCTCTGGCAATTGGCATCCTCTACCTGCACCTCTCCGGCTGGCGACCCCTCAGAGAAGTTCTCCCAGTGGGTCTGGAATACGTGCCGAGTGCCTGGAGTGCTATTGTGTGTATGTGAGAGCACATTGGTGAGGCTGCCCACGCATGCCACTGTGGACAAAGACAGATGCGACCGTGTGTGTGTGTGTGTTGGGGACTGCGTATGTATTTTTGTCAGTGTGTGACCACGAGTCGGCTGGGTATGTGTGCTTGTGGGTATCAGGTGCGTGGCTGTGAGTACATGTGTGCGTAAGAGTCGGTGCATTTGTGTTTCAGCGCGGCTAAGGCCCTGACTGAGATGCTGTGTGTGCGGGGGTGGGTGTGACTGAAAGCAGGCACGAGTGACCGTCTGTTTACAAGTGTGTTTGTGTGTTTGGGTGTGCAGGTGGTTCTGCCTAGGCGTCTGTATGCAGGGGATTGGCACATGGGAGAGGATGCCCATGGTTGGGTAACCGAGGGTCCGCTTGCCCCTCTGCCGCCCAGGACTGTGTCTATAGGCCTTCTGGGCTACAGTGTGTTTGGGTTGCCGTGTGCGTTTGCGTTGCGGGGTGTGGGTTGCCACAGGGGCAACTGTATTTTTCTGCGTCTTCATGGCTAGGGGTACCGGGGGTGTCGGGCTTTTCCTGGGTGTTTTTCTGTGTGCGTGTGTGATTATGTGCTTAGTTCACATCTTCATAGTGCGCCTTTGTGTTTTCCTGGGTATCTAACCATTGTACGTGTGCCCGGGACGTCAGCAATAAGTGTTTCAGTGTTCCTGCGTGCGGACTTGTGCTCTCCGGGGAGGTCTGCGGCCCAGGTTCGATTCCTGCGACTTGTCCTAGGCAGGCCTGTGTGTGCGCGGCCGCATGCTGTCCTGTGGGGGGGAACGTGTGCCAAACGCTCGCGGGGTACCTGTGCCCGTCTAGCCAAGAGTGCACCCGTGTGCGCCAGCGGGCTTCCGGGACGCTGCAGTGGTGGGGGGCGGCCCTGT